ACTAAAGGTCTTCCGATTCTGCTGCGGGTATTTTCTTTTCTTGGATCTTATCGATCTATGCCCTTTTGGTCTATGGGGTATCCCCCTTTTCCGCTTTTCTTTCTTTCATCTTCCTAATTCCTCAGGTAAGCTTCATGCCAGTCTGACTAAGGTAAGGGGGGAAGACCTCATTTCGTCATTCATATCTATTCGTCTTAGCCCTGCTTCGGCGATTCAATCCGACATTTCATTTCCCCCTTCATCATTTGATTTTTCGCATCTAAGAGCTGATCTTGCAAAAGGAGTACAGCGCGATAACAAGCGATTTGTGATCAATAAAAAGTACCACCGGATTCTGTACCCATCAGTCTTGGATCCTCACCTTAGACAGTTTCATTTGGTTATGAAAGAAAGGCCTTATCCCTAGCGTTAAGGTCTCTATCAAGCACTCTTCTAAAAGGAATGTCATGATACAAAGTGGGCTGGTCATCCGGGGCAACAAGGCACGCGAGCATGCCATTCATGAAAGTCTTACCTATAGAGTAAGTAGCTAAAGCAAGAGAGCCATCAAGCAAGCGATTGTAGGTACGCTAAGTTTATATATTATCTTATATAAGATAAGCGGATTGTTGTGGAACTAGATCCTCTGCTAGAGTCAGAGTTGTTGTGTAGCCAGGTTCACCTGCCCAATGCCAATGATACGAAGAGCTAGCTTTGCTACCCCTGGGGGCTCAGAGAAAAGTCTACTTGCATTTGTTAAGCATGTGAAAAAGCTTTCCTGCACGCGGGAACCTTCCTTCTGTCTTGCAGCCTTGATGCTCAGTTCTGTTCTCCCGCACACCCGCTTTTGCAAGGCTAGCCGGGGGGGAGGTGCTTTTTCGGGTTTGGTTTGCCTAGATAGGAAGTGCGCTTGCAGTGCTTCTAGTAACTATTTTGAAGTGCAATATATTTCTGTTCCAGGGGTATGATTGCTTCTTTCTTCGGCTTAAAAGCTAGGGCTTGTGGTTCGTTATCAGTACCTGTTTTAGAGCGATATAACCTCCTTGTCCGCCTCTCAATGTCCGGGTCTTTCCCCAGCCCTCTCTCTCGATGTGGTGCCTTTCACTCTGCTCTGTCAACACTTTATCGCAATGCCGAAAGGCAGGATTTCTGGTCTTTTAGGAAAAGGATATCGAATGATCGATTCACCGTTGAGAACATTAACCCCAAAAAGAGGAATATTGTGGTGTTCTAACAGCGGCATTATCCCTTCTATCTATCTGAATTATGCAACAAGAAAAGTAAGTCAAAAAAAATTGTAGCTTTTTAAAACTCTTTCTGAAAAAGTCTGTAGGCCCCTACTTTAGTTCTCTTTTGGGGGCTTACAAGGGTGTTCCGTTAGCAACGGGAAGGTTAGCTCAAGTGATAGAGGGAGGTGGTAAGAGACGTATCTTTGCAATATGTAATTACGTAAAAAACAAAGGTTACTGTTTCCTGTCCACCAATGGGCAATGAAAGTCCTATCTCGCCTTCCGGCGGATGGAGCATTCGACCAAGAACGTCCGTTGGTACGATTACGATCTCAAAAGAAACGTAATTCTTTCTCTTTTGATTCAAAATCGGCAACGGACCGTTGGCCATTGAGTGTCATATACACCTTCATGTCCTGCATGTGGGGGAGTACACTGGCATCATCAATAGTCAACAGTTCCTTGGGTCTCAACACTTTCTTGATCGTCCCTCCGATGGTCAAGAGGGTGAGTGAGATTGCCTTCTTAACAGGACAGCCGTTAGGTTACTACGGATCATGGTCCCTATTTGCGCTTTCCCACCATTATATGGTGTGGCTAGCTGCGAAATATGCATACCCAACGAGTACTACCCCTTTTGCTGATTACGCCCTGTTAGGTGATGATATCCTAATCACCGATACAGAGGTGGCGCGGCAGTACAGGATTTTGCTGGATAGGCTTGGTGTTACAATCTCTTAGCAAAATCGATAATATCCGAGAACGGAACCCTCGAGTTTGCTAAGAGATTTTGGACCAAGGACATGAAAATTTACCTTTCTCCAATCTCTCTTAGAGCATTAACTTCCTGTAGGACAACTGTGGGTCTGTGTCAACTCGCAACCAAGTATTCGATTTCAACATCGATTTTACCTATTTTTTGGGGGGCCGGATTCAGAGTTCGTTCTCGTTTGATGTCTACTCAATCTAAACGTTGGGAAAGACTGAAAGCGGCTGCAAGCAAACCACACAGGTCACATCTATTACCTCTCGAATATTGGATTGGGAGATTTAAACCTCTCAATCTTTTTTTTTTTGAAGGGAAAGATAATAGATTATCTCCGGAAGGAATTAACACCTAAGGAGATACGACTCTTTCCAAATGAGTTGGTGTTTGATGGTGAGAGAGAAATCCTTGAACGCACTGTTTTACTCAGATGGGTGAAACAGTGGCCGAAATGGGTCTCTTGGTACCATACTGTTGCAGCATCAGCGGAAGTAACCATTGATCAGTTGATCGAAGTTCCTATGTGTAGTAAATCCTGAAAAAGAACAAACGAAGATCTTGATTTGATCAAGTATAGTTGAGGGTTGGTGTTCAGTGTGGGCAGTCTCCTCTATCAAAATAGTAAGAGAAAAAGAAGGACTTATCTCAGATCTTTACGTTTCACATTTGAATTTATTCTAATTTCAATTCCTCTCCAATGTTATCAAAACCCGTTGCCTTTTTACTGGAATTTTCTGCGATAGTTTTTTCCACTATTTTAGCGATTATGATTGAGATAAAGCTCTTTAGATGGTCTTTTCTATTGTATAATTTTCTATTGTCCGAGTTGGAGTTAGAAATACATCAGGATTTCGTGTGCTTACTTATATTGCTTTTGGTTTTCGTATCATGGATCTTGGTTCGCACTTTATGGCATTTCCACTAGAAAAAGAATCCAGACATTTCTCGTGTACCTATTATGGAAAGCGTTTGGACTCTGTCTCTTTTTCTTTCGTTCTCTTTTTTCTTTTATGAATTGTTGTTAGAAATGGTAGACTGCGCAGGAAAGGATTCGGGTGGGGGAGCGTCTACCTCCTCTCCCAAGCCTGATGAATGGC